TAACGAGAAACAAATTGTTGCAAGCGGTTCTTGCTTTATTCCCCACTACAATGCCTTTCTTGACAAGGTCTTGCAGATGGTATGACTAACCTTCTGCATGTAGTTATGCTAATTATAGATCATCAAAATGCAATGCATCAACTCGTATTTTACCTCACCGGGACTGCCTTGAGAACAATAAACAACGAAATTCTAGGACAAATCGTGTATCATCGATGTGCAGAAATGCAGAAGAGGCTACTAACACGACCCACAGTTAATGCCCTTTAGTGGAAGTAAAATGTTGGGGCCTTCGGTCCCTGCATAACCAATCCGAAGGTGAAACATTCAGTCCAATTATTACACCGCATTAAGGTTCCTAACGGTGGCATTGATACAAAGGAGTCTTCTCCTACGTCTGCATTATTCTCACTAGTGTACTGTTTGCATTCTTTACCTCGTCAGTAACACTTTTGTCAAGGGCTTGTGCCCATGGGAAGGTCACTCTCAGTCAAATGGCATTGTACGTTTGCCCTAAGCTTGGACTAAATAAAGTCAGAGAAATCTGAATTTGTCACTCTGTCGATCGTTTAATGAAATTAATTAGGAGAAGTTTGCAACCCTTTAAGAATGCTCTTCAAACTATGTCATCTGCTGTCAGCTATATTGCAATTTGAGCCAAAAATGTGTGGCTGCCTAGTAGCATAGACGGCTTTGGAAAATGGAGCATGCGTGCATTAAAAAGGGCAGCGCACGCTGCATTTCAGCCTCCCTTCTATTACGTGGGCAAAACTGTTCATCTACCATGCAGTCCGCGGGTATGTCGAGGTGTGGCGAAAGCACGCGAGGGTATTCCCACAAATAGGTCCACATAAGCAGCTTCAAATTGTCCATTTTACTAGACTCATATGCAGATATTTTTGCAGTGAAAAGGCGACAGCTCTACGGCATACACGACCATGCCATTCCACAAATGCGCTACTTAGTAAGGCAAAGTAGGTTTCTTGTCTTAAATGTTGCAAAATTAGGCTCCAGCAAAACTACGTGTTTCCCAGATTGTGGAGATCCTATGGAGCCGAAACTAGCAGAATCGGTTGAGTACGAACAATTGCAATAATGTGAACAGACGATTTAGATTAGGCCTGGTACGAAGACAAGTAAAAATTGGGAAAAATGCCCCCTTATCCTTCGACTTACCTAGTTGGGATGCAACGAATAAATAAGTTGCTAGTGAATGCAAAACGGCTTGCTGTGCTGCATAATCAAACTTGGAACCTACTATATTGGAATTTTGTTGTACCTTATTCCCCATCTGTCTGCTCCTTGTCTTGTATTGTGCCTGTTGCTGCTGTCAAGAACAGTCGATAGGCATCACTTAAACACATATCGAGAAGACAGATAGACGGTCTCTCTCCCTCCACCCTGTCATGGTTTGCCATCCTTCTCACTGGAAGAGGCCCTGTGTATGGGGTCTTAAAAGGCCTCTTACAAAGATGGTCTTCGACCCGTGCAACCATCGTATATGGCTGCCCCTCAGGACAGCGTGTTCTTGCGCACCTTCCCATGATATCCCTTAGAGTGGCCAGACCGCAACAGCAAATGATAAACGGTTTTCACACACGCTCACATAGTACAGACTTTTGGAATTGGCCCAGTGTCTTGGCACTTCCAAATGGAGTGATGTGTGGACCGTCTAAGGAATATAAAATCCAATTCCTACCCAAAATTAGTTTGTAAATGGTGCGACAGTTTTCGGTTTTATCACGATTGTAAAGCATGTGTTATATTAGTTACTACTGGCTTCTTAACACACTTTGGAATCCACTTCAGATATACTGATCTGATGTACACCTGGTACACTTATGCATGCAGGCATATGTGCGCTCAAGAAACACATATACATATACACGCATGCACACATACACACAATTGCACTCATTCATATTTGCCTGCTAACTTACATCCACACATGCACAAAAGACACCTTCATGCATATCTGTATGCAAACATACGTACCTACAAGAAGTACTCACGTATTTAAATATATATATGCAATCACACGCATACACATCACATCATAACAGCAGATTTCAAGGTTTCCGACGCACTTCTCCCCGATTCCTACATCTTTCACACTTCCCCAGGCGCAATCCTAATTCAGCTTTTCATATTTTCAGGAGAGCATCTAACCACTGATTAGTACATAGGCTTATTTTTCGAGACACTCACTTCACCCAACATAAGCAGTCAAGTAGTGTTGAGGGTTGATGTTTGTAGCCTATTGGGTGTTGCCTCACGTCCTACAGTTGGAATGGGGAGCTGTAAGGGCACGCACAATTAGGCCATAAAAACCCAAAACATCAAGTGCCATACTCGCCGAACGAATGTCCTGCCTGCCTACCCATTAACTTGTTTAAATCGGAGTCGTCAAATTTAAGTCGTTAACGCCCACATTCCATTAGTGAGAGAAAGAGACCATAGATAGGGCGCCGATAGTGACTCTCTTCATTGCAGCAACACGTTGATCCAGACAGACACGTAGAGTATGGAAGATGTTGTATTTGATGAATTTGTGCACATACGACCAAAGCCAGGTGTTGTGTTGAATGTGAGTAGACGACTGCCTTCATCGATGGCACAGGAGTGCAGAAACCTGCAGAAGAGCTTTCGCACCAGAAAGCGTCAAGTGCTGCGTATTGAGGATGTGGTCGTGCAAACCTGTATCATCCTTCTCGTGGTCGTTGTCGCTGATAGTATTTGCACCCTCTGCACAAGAAAGCGAAAGCATGTAAATTTTTTGATGAGTTGATATTTCATCTATTCTTATTTTTAATATGGGTCAGAAGAAAATGACCATGTTTTTCTCTTTCGCCATGACTTTCGAAGGCAGTTTCATTCTTTTCATTTACTTGTTAAGACAACCATGGAGCAGCTTGTTTTTTTGTTTAAGTTTGCCATGGCTTAGTTCTGAGAGATAAGCTATGTTAATGTTCGCCATCTAATTATCACTGCGTTGAGATTAATGCACCGGAAGTTACCGTCCAAAATTATCCTTGTATTATCAAGTCAGGCATGTAAGACCAAACTGTCGCGGGATGTAGAAATATTTGGTTTTATGAAATACCGCCTTTTATTGCACAGTATTTCCGCAATTTCTCGTTAGTTTTGCCACTGTCATTTGCCCGCATTCACTGCCCTTTAACCTACGTTACCAGTTAACCAAATCGAGGTGGGGAGAGCTTGTCTTGTTTGTCTGGTTGGTTCGCGTAGAGCAGAATCAGAGAGGAAAAAGCATTTGCATTCAGAGTTAGCAGAAAAGTGACAAATTAAGAAATCAGTCTCTATGCCTTTACACAAACTTGTACTGCTGTCAATAGCACTGCTGATCTCAGTTACTTCAAATATGCGACTGGATGTTCTATTAGTGGACTAATCTACCTGATTTTAATCCCTAATTATCAAGAGACAAATCCATTATCAACCGCCTAATTTGCCATTAAATCAACTGGACTCTCTTATTCTATTTATAGACAACGACGCAAAGCGGCTTCGCGAGCAGCTCCGATAGACCACACAGCTTCGGCATTGTCATCACTTCCTTCATGGTACAAATCACATGGCCGATATCTATTCTAGAGGCAGTGAGAAACGCTGAAATGGTAGGTCCGAATCATATTTTAATTACCTCCTATGTAGGCGAACGTGTGTCTGGCAGACCACTGCTTGCTTTGATCCTTATTTTTAAGGTGGTCTACAATCCCCACATATTCAGATAACACAGGAAGAATGCACGAATCGAGAAAGTGACGTGCGATTAGGCACACCACATAGAGTGGAACAAACTTGCGTTGTTGTTGCGATAGTCAACGCAAAGCAATTCTCAAGATGAGGCATAGATGGCATTAAGTGAAGTGTCATTTTGATAGATAAAGGAGACTTACTGCTCAGTATGTGTCGGCTATTCCATCTTGATCAGTACAATGCGTCTACAATTTCTCGACCCCAGGAAAGCCTTATTAAGCGCGCATTTGTTCACTTTACCAATGAATTGGCACTACTGTTTGAAGACCATTAATTTGGCATTTGCCTAAGATAAAATCAGGCTTTACTGAATTTGGACACACATTATCCAGTAATCCAGTGCGGTGACATTCCTGTTAGCCTCGTTTCTGGTGCCTCCACTGCATAAAATGCTACATATTTTTTCAAAATAGCACGTTACTGATTTTGTTGATCACGCGTGGCAAAAGTATCAAGCCATGCTGTATCTTCAAAAGACAGTGCCTGATAATTCTTATGAAACGTAGTTATTACCACCGTTGAGAGATTACAAAGCTAAATAGCAATTACCAACTTACTGCCGCTCTATCCAGGACCGAGAAATGTGCCAGGACCTAGAGAATAGGCCTGGTCCACTCACATTGACACGTTGCCTGCAAGCACTTCACAGGGAAGCTAAATACTGCTGTTCCAATGCTCCATTCTCCTCATAGGGTTGCTGTAGCAAAGCACCAGTCCTTTCAAACATGGAACATCTGGCACCTGCCTTACTATTTGAGGACAAAGCTTAACCCACAAGTGCGAGACATGACTTAAAGCAATCAGCAAGCACTTACTGTTTAAGTCCATGTGCCACATACATGCGACATTGGTAGACAACGTGTGAATATTGTGGTTAACATGAAAATGTCGCCTCATACTTATGGATTTAGTATGGACTCGTCGGTTGCATATTCGTATCGGCCAATGGCACGCTGGTCTGCACCATCTTTGCGTTGCTGCTCTTGGAATTGCGCACCAAAGCACCAGGAGCCCAAACCATTGCCCAATTTGTAGGCCATCGGTTTGGAAGAGTTGCCCACATTCTCACCATTGCCATTAACATCCTTACTGGTCTCTATACCCTCACCATCAACGTTACGGGTAGGTAGCTGCTGTCTTTCTACTTATGCATTGTTAGTAAACTGCGATGCATTACATAGGGCTGTCTAATGATACCAAAGTCTACGGATTCAACTTTTACAGTCTAAGGTGATAGCATTGTGAGTACAAAGAAGAAGATGAGAGCCAGTGTTGAGCAGTCATAAGGGCACTAGATAAGTAGCAGAGGTCAAGAATATGATCAAATAAAGAGTTGTGTCTGTGATGTTTAAAATAATGTGAGCCAAATGCACATAATTCTTGTACGACTGCTCATTTCTGCGAGTACATTTGCCAAAGGGGGAAAAGAGAGCAGATGGCAAAATGAAAGTTGGATCGGAGTAGCCAGATGTTTGGAGTGACATATTCAGCTGCTGAGATCTATGTCAAACCTATGTAACTTTATTGTCACTCGTTTGCCACAGTCAAAGTCTGTGCGTAGTCATTGCCAACGTACAAAACTTTGAATTAGCGATATAAAATCCTATTTAAATTATGACTGCCAGCCATGCCTCAGTGTCAATTACATGCTCCGAAACACCGAAGTCTACATCAATTCATTTAAGTGTAGAGTAAATTTGCCACGAGTTTCATATACAAATGGAATAGGTGGGCTGTGTGGCCCTTGACATTTAGAATGTCTTGGGAGGTAGAGTGAGTGAATGAATATATTTTCAAAACGGAATCGCTGTGTCCTTTTACAAACACCTGACAAAACAGAATTTGCATTTCTTATA